GTTTAGCAGGGTTGTCTAAAGGCAAAACAATCTACTCAGCAGCAGAGGTCGCTTTCTGTCATGGGAAAAGTTTCTCCATATGACAAGTGCAATCAGAAAGGATCCTAACCGTCACTCTCAGGATGCCAAGAAATCCGGAGCTGCAGTCTAACAGATTAGATCCAAATCTGATCCAGAGCTCTGTTCGTTGCACCTCCACGGACCACAACAACTCTCCAGGCCCTGGCTGTCTGACATAAGAACTATACTGATGAACAGAACAGTCTCCTAATGCTTGTCCACCCATTGTCAAAATCGGCTCCACCCGCACAAGAGTGCATTTGAAGACGTGTGCTCGTGCCTTCTCAGAGTTAACTCTAACAATCCTGGAGCAACCACTGACTCGCCGACTCAGGAAGAAGTTAGCACAACTTCAGGAGGGATACAAGTACGTGGAATCAGCGACCTCCGTAACTCAGATATAGAACTCCTTGATCCAACTCTTCCAGGTGCTTTGCAAAATGCACCTATATATAGTATATCACTGATGTGGAACTCAAGAACTTCAGCTGGAAGAATGTGCAGATAAGGAGCCCTTTCACTCATTTCACATATCTTTCCTTCGCTCCCGTCCTTGATTTGCTCACACCCCGACTGCTGATCTCCTCCTGCCGTAGCAAAATACATGGAAAAACAGCATGGGCCTTCCCAGATTGGTCCTCCAATCAAAGTCCGATTGAATACGGAACAGATAGGCACAGACCTCTTCATATCTCTCCTTGATCTCTTCATATCTACATCTCCAAGAGAACCAACAAATCACTGGATGATCTTGTCGGATCGACATGCCCAACCAATCGTGACAATCTTTCATCTACAGCGAGTAGATGTATGTGCTTTTCATTGCGTGTGTGGTCTGTCCACCCAATTTTTGTGACCCTACATGCTGAACTCAATCGCTTTTGAAAGCAAACAGTCCTGCTGAAGGCTCACCCAAAAACGCTCCATAAGACAGTCACAACAAACTGGTCGAGACAAAATTATGCTAATCTTGCTATGTTGGACTGGTCATGCATCTAGACTGCTACAGAGACACCTTGAAAGACCACTAAACCTCCCCTCCTAGATCCTTTGGAGAGTCTACAAAACCAACAGGGTGGTCCATCCGAAAAAGAAGAAAAACATCAGTCATGAGTCATCAGTCCAAATAACAGTCACACGCACCCGAGCGCGCCCTCAGCCCAAATCCGCAGAGAGCCGTCCGCTCGTCCGATCAGTAACAAAAATCCTCATGCAAATCAGCAATGTTCGCTACGAATACGAACGGAACAAGTGCCACGCTAGTGGTAACAGGTGCCTTACTAGTAGTAACAAGAAGCTACTAGGAACAAGT